AACATTTCTATATACCAAAAACAAGTAATTGGAGAAAGAGTAAGTAGAAGCCCTCCAATTCAAAAAAGACTAAAAATTAATATCTAGGAATAAACTTAAACAAAGACATTAAAGATCTCTACAATGTAAATTCTAAATCTTTGAAGAAAGAGATGGAGATGGAAGGCAGGAGATGGAAGGACCTCCCATGCTCATGAACTTTAAGTATTAATATTGTGAAAATGTCCATCCTACCAAAAGCAATAAATAGATTCAAAGCAATCCCAATAAAAATCCCCATGACATACTTCACAGAATTTTTTAAAAAATCCTTAAATTCATATGGAAGCACAAAAGACCCTGGATAGCCAAAGCAACCCTGAGGAAAAAGAGCAATGCTGAGGGGATTACTATACCAGAGCTTAAAGTATACTACAGAACTAAAGTCATAAAAACAGTGTGGTACTGGCACAAAAATAGACATGTAGATCAATGGAACAACATCGAAGACCCAAACCATAGTACATGCAATTTCAGCCACCTGATATTTGACAAAGGTGCCACGAACACACAATGGAGGAAAGACAGCATCTTCAACAAATAGTGCTGGCAAAACTGGATATCCACCTGTAGAAGAATGAAACTAGATCCTTATCTTTCACCTTGCACAAAAGTCAACTCCAAATGGATCAAAGACCTCAATGTGAAACTGGAAACCCTGAAACTATTAGAAGAAAATATTGGCAGTAACCTATAAGATGTAAGTATAGGAAAGGATTTTCTAAATCAGACAGAAGTTGCTCAGGAACTAAGGTCCACAATCAATAAGAGGGACCTGATTAAACTAAAAATCTTCTGTAGAGCAAAAGAAACAATCAAAAAAGTGAAGAGAAAACCCACAGAGTGGGAAAAATCCTTCACCAGTGACACATTTGACAGAGGTTTAACATCCAGACTATATAAAGAACTCAAAAAACAAAGAATCAAGACAGAAAATGAACCAATTAAAAGATGGGCTAAGGATCTAAACAGAGAGTTCCCAAAAGAAGAAATAAAGATGGCTAAGAAACATCTTAAAAAGTGTTCAACATCTTTAGTAATTACGGAAATGCAAATTAAAAGCACCCTAAGGTTTCACCCTACCCCAATCAGATTGGCTAGGATCAAGAGAACAAATGATACCAAACGCTAGCTGGTGAGGATGTGGAGAAAAGGGAATGCTCATTCACTGCTGGTGAGATTGCAAACTCATGCAAACCTTACGGAAAACAGTGTGGAGAACTCCAACAGTTATCAAAGTGCCTGAAAACAAATCCTGAGTCCATCACTCTAGTCCAACCTTGTTAGACAAAAGAAAAATGAGGAAGAACTCAATGGAGGGATGCTTTTGGAAGCTCTCATCAAGAAATTCCAGTGGTCTCTGATATGAACATTTGAAAATTAGCATTTTGAATTTTTTGTGGTTTCTGTCTAGAACTTCTAATGCTAACTACTCTTGCCTTTACTTCTCCTTCACATCTCCTAGGCACCAGTCAAGGACTTTTTTTTTTTCTCCCTACAGTTAAGAGTATGCAATTTGGGAGTCTTTTAAATAGACCCACTGAAGAGGTACCCCAAATGTCTCACCCTGCATCCCCGTTCAGCATGGAAGAAGCCAGAGCAGTCTGCATCCAGATTCCCTATTGGCAATTTGGGTAACCTCTTCAGGAGATGGTGTGATAAGAATAGGGGGTAGGAATTAGATAGGCAGTTATGGTAAAAAGATCCCAAAGAAAAGTAGCCAGTTTCTTGGCTAAAAATCAAAATGTCCCTGGGCGTCTTAGCAAAATACTCTGTTCCAAAGGCCAAAAATGTCAAAAGTATTTGGGAGCTCTTATCTAATCCCTAAAAGATTTTAGGGTTACCTCTTCAGAGGGGGAAATGTTAGAGTAGCAGAAGGCCTCATGAATTTAAAAAAAAGGAAAGAAAGAAAGAAAGAAAGAAAGAAAGAAAGAAAGAAAGAAAGAAAGAAAGAAAGAAAGAAAAAGAAAGAAAGACAGACCACAGGAAGTCATTCAGGAAAAAGTGATGGGGAGATTTGGGAGGAATTGGAGGGAGGGAGTGGATGTAGATTTGATCAAAACCTTATATGCATGTATGAAATTCTCAATAAATTTTTTTAAGTTAAAAAAAAGTCATTCAAATGGGATGAAGTGGGTCTCATTACGGTGAAGAGCTGTACTTTTCTCAGCCATTGAGCATCTTCTCGATGTGTGTTTGTCATTAGTGTATTTTCTTTGGTGAAATGTCTACTTAAGTCTCTTGCCTACTTTTGTATTCAGTTGTGTACAGAATGAAATTTGCATATCAACAATATCAAATATTAGCTTATGGATATAGCTGTCTATATTAAATGCATACATTACCCTTTAGCAGTTCTCATTTAATGCAGTAAACTGCAAAAACCTATCATCAACCACACAAAGCAACTGATCCAGAAGTAGCACAATGAACACGCTTTAGAGATCCTGGGAAAACTTGGGAAAATCAGACTTGTTTTAAGGTTTGTAGACACATGCTTAGAAAAATCATGAGGTTTCCAATGACAAAAAGGGAATTCTTTTTGCTGAACAACTGGGGACTCTGAACCTTGCGTTAAGACTATTAAAAAAAAAAAACTAATAGAGACTAGTCTATGCCTTGTGAGGATAGACTGTTAGGGCCTCTAGATAGTAAAATAAATTGTGAAAAACAGGAAAGAAAATTAGTACAAAAAACAGAGTGGAGCAGAATTATTTTCCTTCTGTTTCATAAATTACTTGTGGTCCTCTTTAGAACTGGATTCTAGACTAAGACTTGTATTCATAAATGCTAAATTCCTAAGTTGGTTGGGTTAAATAGAAATCATCAATTTACAGTGCTGTGGCAGTCTATATAAAGTTTGCTTAGTGAATTGATGAAATTATATCAAATCATATCTCTCACTGGAATAATTTCTTATGAGATTTTATGAGATTCTCGGTCTTTTGAGAGATTATTACAAAACATTGGTACTAACTACTTTGGTCTTCATTTGTGACATTCTCACACATTTAAGAGCCAAACGTAAATATCTTAAAGTAATAGTAGGGCTGAGATTATAAATCATTGGCAGAGTGCTTGCCTAGCACATATGAGGCTATAAGCTCAATTCATAGAATTGAAGAAAAAAGATTCTCTCTAAATTTTGAAAACAGTGGCCAGTGTTTCCAATTAATGAATTGGTCACAATCTGACCTCATTCCCCTGTTTAAACATAGTATCTCATTAAAAATTATGGTTGAAGCCAGGCATGATGGTTGTCATGGTCTGAATGAGGTATAGTGGTTTGAATAGCTCCAAGTGTTTGAATACTTGGTCATTTGGTGGCTGTGTTTGCGGAGGTTTAGGAGGTGCAGCATTGCTGAAAGAAGCAAGTCACTGGGGGCTGGCTTTAAGAGGTAGCCGTCACATCCCATTTTTAGTTTGTCCCTCTGTTTTAAGATGTGAGCTCTCAGCTTTCTGTTCCAGCTGCCTCCTGTCATGCCTTCCCTGCCATGATGGACTTTTATCCCTCTGGAACCATAAGCCAAATAAACTCTTCCTTCTCTAAGTTGCTTTTGGTCATGGTGTTTAGCACAGCAACAGAAAAGTTACTAATACAGTGGTGCACGTCTTAAATCCCTTCACTTAGGAGGCAAAGGCAGAAAAAAGTAGATCTCTATGAGTTCAAGGGCCCTCTGGTCTACACAGGAGCTCCAGGCAAGTAAGGGCTACATAGTGAGCCCCAGTCTAAAAAACCAAAATCTATGGTTGCCTTTGAACTTCAAAAATAAAAAAGGTGTGGTTTTCTTAAACATTTATAAAATGTAGGTTAAAAATATTATTGGAAATAATTGAAAAGCAACTATTTGCCACTCAAAAAGGAAATTAAAACATTCTTTGTACTTAAATAAAATGAATGATTAACTTTTATATATACATTACCTTGACAAAGAGAGGAAGTCTGTTTTCTTTGAAGGCGAAAAAACTGAATATATGATGTTGGCCACTCTTGGTTAGTGGTACCAGGTTGCCAAAACAATCAACATAAATGGGTTTTCCTTCTAATACCTGAGAAAAAAATAGAAAAATAACATAGAATATGGTAACTGTGGTAGTGCTACTTGAAACCTTCAATTCTTAAAACACAAATATAACAATCTTTACATTGCCAACAGACATTCTATTTTACACATGGCAAAGCAGGTGCCAGCATTCCTTCTTCTTATTATGAATGAGAATCTTCAAGTGAATGGTCACATTTAGCTGTTACCCACAATCATTCATATATATATATATATATATATATATATATCCTAAATGTAAGATTCTAATTAGGTAAATTCTGACATCACAGTGAGTCACATTACCAGACTTCAACATCCAAATACCTAAAATGTTTGAAAATTCTTTACAAAAAAAGAAAAACAATGTACAAAAGCATTTATTGGAAGTCATAAAAGAAGTACTTTCCCAGAGTGTTTACTATAAAAGAAAATTGGGAAAAATAAAAACTTGTATGCTGCAATAGTTACATACAAACTGCTGTGGTCTTCTATGTCCTTTGAGTTTATTAATAACTCAAAAATTTCTCCAAATACCTTATTGGAATCCTTTCACATATGTAGAGATCATCCTTCTATGGTTCCAACTGTAAGAAAAATCACTGATTTTGGACCTTCAAACTGATAGAGACATGGACTTGTCTTTTTTTCTTTTTTCTAGTAACTCCTCTTACTCTATTTTAAACATTTAAAGGCACATGATACAGCATGTCTAGATATTTAGAGCAGTACCTCCACATCTCTGCTCCTGGCCACCTCAGAGAAGTTTTCTTGTTGTTCAAGGGTCTTATCTACTTTATCATCAGTCATGCAGAAACATCGCAACCTGGCTTCAATAGGGTCTTGTGATTTGGCAAATACTACAAATTTGGCCATATATGGCACACAGATAATTTCTCTATATACTTGGGATGCAAATGAAACAGATTCCTGGATCTGTCGACAGTCTATCAGCCAGAACCTATGAAAAGAAAGAAAACAAATTATCTAAAATTTAAAGTATAGCTCTTGAAAGAAATCCCTTCAATATGATCAATCTTCTTGAAAAAGAGGGAAGCAGGAGAGGCAGATGGTAAGAGGAAGTCAGAGGAGAGGGAAACACAGAGAAGGGTGGGAGGGGAGGTAGCAGAATGGACAGGAAGTCTGGGGGATCAAAAAGCAGGACTGATATATGAGATTTTTAAGACTTAACTATGAAGGTGGAATGTGTTCAATGTACAAGCAGGACTGATATATGAGATTTTTAAGACTTAACTATGAAGGTGGAATGTGTTCAATGTACAATATACACTCGAATGAAAAAGCCCTTATGTAGCACATTACCATGTATAATGAATATATACAATAGAAATCACCCCACTCCAACCCCTCAAAACAAAACAAAAACAAAAAGATTGACTGTTAAATATTGTAGATGTGTTTTTCTTCCTTGGAAATGCTTCTGTATAATTAATCTCTTGAAATACATCTTTATTGTTTTTTAATTCTTTGGTGATGCAAGATCAGTACGATTTGAGTGAGTTCCTATTTTCCCTGATTCCCTTTCTATTCAGTTAATTTTCTGAAGCTTTTCAAATGCTTTTCCTCATTGAATAATCATTCTTTCCCAAGGACCTCTCCAGTCATTGAAACTGAATCAATTCAACCAGAAATATGAAGATACGTACCATTAAAGACCACGCAAATAGGAACTAATATGAAAATTGAGTTACAGTATATAAAAGAAAAAACAGCAGATACCTTCAGATTTTAAAAAATATATAGTATGGAAATATTATAGGATGTATAAAAGACACAGCAACTTCTATTCGATTTAAGCAAGCCACAGTAGACTTTGTGTTTTGGCATTCCGTTGAAACGTAAGTCATTCTATTCTGCTGACAACAGGAAGCTTCTCATTCCTAAGACCTTAACACCAGCTCTAGCTAACAAAGCTGGAGTCAGAGTCATACAGTCAAAGCAGGCAGACACTTACTTTTTATAGTTTCTAATCTGACTGACAGGACTTAGTTATTATATTGTTTCAAGTTAAAGTAAGCACAGATTTTATTTTAAACAATGAATCAGTTTGAAAGAATTAAGCAACACAAAACAATAAAAAGAAAAATCATTGTGAAGATGAAAAAAGAAATACAGCAGGCTTGTCTGTGCTGCGTAAGTGTACCTGGCAGACACGTTGGTTGTGAAGGAGACACACTCATTGACAAATGTTAGTGGTGTAGTTCCTGTAATGTCTTCCCACTGTGCAGGCGTGGTTCCACCTGAAATATGATTGTAGAAGAAAATTAGGCAAAACTCCAGGCACTGGATAGTAAATAAAGTCTCTGTGGTTCTGGCTGTGTTCACCAGAGTAATCCTTCCCATCACCCACAGAATACATTCAGAACAAAATGGATTGAGGATCAGTGGTAGAGGTTAGTGGTAGAGCGTTTGCCTAACATGTGAAAGGTCACATGTTCAACCCCCACGGCCCCCAAAATTAAAATAAATCTGCTTTGGGGGCTGAGGATATATAGCTCAGGAGTGCAGTGCTTGCCTTGCCTAGTATTCAACAAATGCCCAAGGTTTAATTCTTAGCACCACAGCAATAAATAAATTAGTTAATTAAATTTAAACCAGAGTAAATACAAAGTGACAAAAACTACATACTAAAAATGAAATTTTTTAAACAATATTTTATTGCTTTGAGAATTTTATACAATGTACTTTGATCATATTCAGACACCCTCTTGCCTCTTTCCTCCTCTTCCCCAGCCAAATTCATGTCCTTTTTTTTTTTTTTCTTCCTTTTTAAAGGCCTATCAAGTCTAATTTATGTTCCCCAAATGCTCAGGTGTATAAGTACCTCTCTTGGAGTCTGGTCAACTTACCAGGTGTCATAGCCTTAAAGCCTAAGTCTCCCTCCTCTCCCACCAGCTATGAATTGCTAATAGAGTCTCATCTAGGTCTGGGGCTGCCATGCTGGGTTTTTGTATACCTTAGGTTTGGAAAGGTCCTGTGCATGTTGTCACAAGCATTATGAGTTTATTTCTGCAACTACCCTGTGGTGTCCAGACAAAACAATTGCCTCATATTTATCTACAACCTTTGGTTCTTATAAGCTGTCTGCTCACCTCTTCTGCAAGGATACCTGAGATTTGGGAGGAGCACAAGTGATACAGACACCCTATTTAGGGATGAGCACTCTATAGTCTCTTATTCTCTGCATGCTGATCACTTACGGGTATCTGTGTTGTTTAACACTGACTCATAATCACTTGATTGTTACTCCCATATTAGTTAATACCTTAACTCTCGCCAGAGAAGCTTCTTCTTATAGCAGATGACAACACAGAATAATAGTAGTAGGTTCTCCCCTACGGCATGTGACCTGTCTAGCTAGCCACACAGACACCACCTGTCAATAAACTAAATTTAAGCAAAATTATTTGAGCAACTTCTTACTAGCATTCTGTTCTCTATCTGCTATATAAGATACTAGGGGAGAAAAAAATATCAATGGTCTTAACCAGCACTGGACCATACATACTCACCTGCCAGGCAAGATGTACATGTTGGTGTAATAGAGGCAAGATTGTTTATGAAGGTAACCATTTGTTCCTTTGATTGGATTTGAGGCCTACTGTACAGGAGGGAATTCCTGCCAGGTTCTACAAACATGGTCAAAGTCTATGACTTGGGAGGTCATAGGATCTAGGAGGGAACCCACTGGTTTGTTTGTTTGTTTGTTTTTTTCAAACCATCATGCCGCCAAAACATTTTGTAAATATTCATGTTTATATCCACAGATTTATAACTGCTTCTTGGTCAGAGATACTTTTTATCACAGTAAGTAGTGGTTAATTCAGAGACTCATAACTGGTTAAACTGAGGATAAGTGACTATCAGTGCTCAGCTGTAAATGGGGCCAAGGGAACACAGTGGAAGAACACAGTGGAAGAGGGGACAGAAAGAACATAAGAGATAGAGATACTGTGAAATGTTGTCTTCTGGACATGACTCGACTACTGTACACAAGAGCTCAAAGCAGCTATGGTTCCAGCATGAATGGGGAAGGGGCTCCCAGGGTCCATCCCATTAGAGCTATTGACTAAAGGAGGGAGAGTCAGTTTTCTTTTGACGGGGTGGCCATGTCCCAGTGGATGATCCCACACCCATGCACATATGAGCAGCATGAATTAGATTCAGTGGGTTAAAAAATAAAAAATTTTACATGGGGGCTGGAAAGATGGCTCAGCAGTTAAAAGCACTGGCTTCTCTTACAGAGGACCTGGGTTCAGTTCCCAGCACCCACATGGTGGCTAACAACTGTTACACTCTAGTTCCAAGGGAATCCAGTGCCCTCTTCTGACTTCCATGACACTGCACGACACAAGTGTACTTACAAACATGCAGGGAATACATTCATATACATAAAACAAAAATAATAAAATAGTTTAAAAATTTTAAGTGACCAGGAACATAATAATGTTATGTGTAATAGTCTGACATAAATGTTATTTAGTAAATAATAGTTAATTTCCTTTTACCTTTCACTTACCTACTTAACTAAAAATGCCTTTCCTAAATTAATGCACCTAGCCCCACAGGTGTTTTTTTTTCTTTTTGACACAAAGAGGGTCTTGTTATGTTACTTAGATTGGCCTGGAATTCACAATCCTCCTGCCTCAGGCTTCCAAGTGCTGTGATTTCAGGTGTGCATACCACTCTCAGCTCCCATAGCTATGCTGTGGCAAAGACAACTGAATTTTTACAACTATTTAAGTTTCTTCTTCCAGAATTTTCTATCCATCTAGTCATATCACTCACCTGTTATGCTACATAGTAATCTTAACGTTGGTGCATCTCCCCCAAAACCATTTAACATGATATCGCTTGAGGCTTTGGGGACAGGAATGGTCATGGTAATTGGCTTATGGAATTTTCTTCTTCTTGGTTCCAAAGTGACTATAGGGCTGAAGGATGCTTTGTTGCCCAAGATCTTCTTCACCAACTCACTATGCATAGGCTGAGCCTTTCCAAAGTAAGAAAAACCATTAAAATAAACTATAGATTATTATACTTAATGTTATATATACGTTGTACAGACAAAACACTGCTCTTATCTCACATCAAGTCAGTGTTGTAAACTGCAAGTGTGGCAATCATTAAGGTTAGTGTTACTGGTAAGTACTCACAATTAAAAATATTTATTACATTTTATTTGTTGTGAGAAGTGGGGAGGGGTTTGTGTGCCACAGCATGCATGTGGAGGTCAGTCTCCTTCCACCATGTGGGTCTCTGGGATCAAATTTAGTTTCTCAAGGTTCAGCAGCAAGTGCCTGTACCAGCTGAGCTATCTCAACAGCCCCACCCTCAAAATTTCATGAGACCTTTGGTCTCTCATGGTAGCTAGCGTTCGCTCACCAAGGAAAAATCTGACTAATCAGGATTTCAGTTCTCATTTGAAAGGTTAACTTTTCATGATGGGAATAAAATCCACAGGATCATCTGCATCCTACATGTACATACCTGTAGGCCTACACGGATGCGCTTGGTGAGCGCACCCTCTGGGAAGACTGCCTGCACCTGCGGCACCACTGTGCTGCTCAGAACTCCTCCCTCTGGGCCAATCAAGTTGCTGTCCTGTTTGATGCGAGACACCACCGCAAAATACTGCGGGAAGTCACGAGTGATGATGCGGCAGATTCGTTTCTTTTCCAGGTCTTCCGGGCTATCTAACACTGAGACAAGAAATGCCCTCTTCATATAGCAAGGCATGCCTTTTGAAAGCATTCTAGCAAACTCAAAGGCACAGTTAACATGTACAGGTACGGCAGTAAAGCTCTTTAAGTATTAAGAAAATTTAAAACACAAAGCCATCCTAACACCAGCAAAAATGAATGCTGGGACCTTCCATAACCTTTCAGCAGTCAGAAGGTACATACTACCTGTGAAAAACCAAGCCTTTTCAGAACACTGTTTAAAAAAAGAAAAACAGTGTCTTGTGAGTCATGACAGATGTGAGATATCACAGTGCCGTCTCTGAGTGAGGATTTATGATTACAAACCTGGAATGGAAACAAACCTATTCTATCCTTCGTTCTTATGATAGAGAGGAAGCTGTGTATGAACTACTTTTCTCTGCAAATTTCAAAGTTGATGCAAACCTTATTGTGGTTTTAAGAAATTACATTGCCCTATGGGTTCAGGGTGAGTAGTACAGGAATAAAATCTGACTTGAAAAGGTAAGCTTTCCATTTATGTACTCTTTCTAGGATCAAGATTTGTCTCTGTGATCATCACTGTGGATATAAATAAATCAGGGACTGTGATATTAGGGTTTCAATATTCCTCTCATTCCAATAACTTACCAAATAAATCACCTAACAGCAGAGGATGGGACCATAGACTCTTCATATATTGCTCTAGTGTAGATATTTAGGGCAATATAAAAAATTAGACTGTGTTACAATGGAGAAATTTTGGACCAAATAGATAAGGAAATTTTAAAGGAAATTTTAGTAAATTTTAAATTTTAGTAACTTTTAAAGGAAAGCTATTTGTTTCTAGAAATTGTTTACAATTCACTATAAAGTAATAACTGACTCAACTAACTAGTAGGTTAACTAGATAGTAAAACGAAGGACGTCCCTTTACTCTTTCATAGTGGAAGAGTGAGGCACTGGTCAATACTAGTAGAAACGTACAAGAAAATATTTGGATACATAAATATATACAAATATATACAAATATGATTTTTATTTTAAAATGAATTTCTTATATATGTAGAATGTTATAAGACTGGGTCTTCATTCAAATGTAAGATGCTAAGGCTCCTGGCAGTGACAGATAACCACCTCAGGAAAATGTCCTAAACCTAATGCTAGCAAAGGAAGTGGTTCCAAGAGGTGGAATTAGCTAAATGTTGCAGAATATAAGCTTTACTGACAAAAAATTCTGATCTTCAGTCACCTCTTGAATAAGGTAAGTCTTACCTTTATTCTTACTTAAATCTCAGAAGGATGCAGACAGAAATATTCATGGAGCTGTGGGCAGGCTCTCTTTACTGTGTACAAACCTCATCTGAAGTCCTGAAAACTGATAAACTTGATCTATCTCTCTGCTTTGCCCCCAGATGTCCAGCTCTATAAATCTTGGTATGGTCTTGGTAATGAGACAAGAAACTGGCTCTATTTTTTGTAGTTATTTAAAATAGAATGTGCCTTGTATTAGGTGTATGTCCTCTCCTCTGTGCAACACACAGGGTCTAAGAATGAGTCCCTTCCCGCTAATCAAAAGATATTTCAACCTGTGGTTAAATAACGAGAAGATACTTGGGATTTACAGAGACTAAGGTTCTAATTTTAAAAATAACATCTCACAAGTAGGTATGTACACGCATGCATTCAGTTCGACCCTCGTTAGCCTCCATTTGAAAGACAGGTGGACAACTGAATGAACTGAATGTTCCTATCTCCTCAATAACAGAAATCTTAAAAGGAAAGGATGTTTTACAAGATACTAGATAGGAAGAGAGTTTCTTTTTTAATATTTAATTTATTAATTTTATTATATGTGTATGAGTATATTGCCTGCATGTGTGTAAATGCACTCATGTTGTACAATGGCTGTGGAGGCCAGAAGAGGGAGGGTGTCAGATCCCCTGGAACTGGAGTGAAGGATGGTTGTTAGATGACATGTAGGTACAGGGGATTGAACCCAGGTCCTCTGCAGGAGCAGCCAGTGGTCGTAACTGTGGAGCCGTCTCTCCAGGCCGAAAGTAAGTTTCTTAACAGAATCTTTTCATTTATTTTTATTAGTTTTGTAAACATCTAATATCTCAAGTTAGGCATTTTAAAAATATCATAGTTTATTATCAAGCATCGTTTATTTGTTACAAAACAATATTATCTATTTTACTTCTAGTTTTAAATTTATAAATTTTTCATTGAAAGATGGAAGTATGCTGTATTAAAATGAGATATTTGCTACCTTAAATGATTTTATTTTCCTGAATTTAGCCTAAAAAAGTTTAAAGAAATGTATTATGCATTAAAACTCATCACAGTTGGAGCATAGCAGACGATGTGCTGGAGTAAAATACAGGGGATACTCATGTGAACACACACAGAGGCATGCACACACAGACAGATGGATTATATAAAAGCAATGTATAATTGTCATGCTTCAACTTTATATTTCTTTTAGAATCCTTAATCTGAAGGTACCTTCATCCATGCCGTTAAGGATTTCATTCAGTTCATCTTCCGTATATTCACAGAAATGCTCTTTCCAGTTGTCACCATTTTCACTGCGCAGAACCACCAACTCTCTCTCCTTCCCTCGAAGAGCCGCAAAGTGAGGTATCTCCACAATCACGGGCCTGATATAGCAATGCAGAACACTCAGTGTAGCCAGAATAACCAACCACAGAACAAGTACCTCAACACTGTCTGTTGCAAAGTGACCTGGAATTCTTCACATCTGGGGACGGGCACAGTGAGCCATCTTCCAGAGCCCAGTGGCTAGCAGATGGTGACACAGCGGCATGCCACCTCAGGGCACTGGTCCACAGATACATGCTGCTACCTTAAGCCAAATGATATTTCTCTGTGAGTGCATGTGGCATTCTGGAACTTATCCTTTGATAAATGTAGGTATAGCACATTTAACCAAAACAAATGTACATGCATATCTATGATGTATGTCAATCTTCTAAAACATTTTCTGTGAGGTGCAAAAATGACAAAATGGGTTAAGAGGGAAAATGGCCCATAATTGCATAATTCAATGTGTTGTAAATGAGGAGATGTAATAAGGTAGACGTCTTGTGTTACTATGCCATGCACTCATGGTTTTTGCCTATAATGTCTTCATTCAAGGGAACAATAGGCATACACACACATATATGGCCATGTGTGTGGCCATAATAAGCCACTCAGTTGACAGGCCAGTTGTGTCCAATGCTTATTATGTTCAGGATCCAGAACATGCACTGTCTTACAATGTTTAGTCCACATTCATCCTCAACACAGAGAGCCTTTCCATGTTTTGCATCCAGGTTGCTTTGATACAGACCCCAAACTCATCATAACAACACCATAACTAGCACATCGTACAACTAGGCATATCTCATGCTTGAACAAAAATGAAGGTCACAGCACTTTAAGGGAAAAGATATAAAAACATCACTCAAAAATAAAAGTCACATACCACAAGGGTCAGAAATGGTCCACTAAAGATAGGTTATACAGAATTTAAATCATAGAGAGGGACATGTCATGGGTACAATGACAAAAAGAGAAATCATATTGCAGAAGAAGGAGAAGAATGGGGGCCAGCAGCCATCAATTTGTTTTAAGTCACTCCTACCCAAGGAATTTGGTTCCAGGAGGCCCCAGCTGAAGGATGCGGCTGACCAAACTTTCTCCCTCATTAAGTGGGGGAGGAGCCGTTGGCAGGTGAAGTTTACTGAGTACATCCAAAGCAGCAGTGAAAGAAAGAACATAAGTAAGCTTCAGGTACTGTGTCCACAGAACTCCAGCATCACCAGCTGATCCACAGGGTGAACTTTGGTTTCACACTGCGTTTGGTTCTGCCTCCTCCATTGGTCACAAAGAGCAAGGAACTGAGACCCAGAGTGTACAATGGAGGTGCGTCTGTGCCAGGGGAACATGTGGTTGTCAAATCTGTCTCTGTTTAGGTTCACTGCTAGGGCACTAGCCAAAAAAGGAAGGAAAAATGCTGTACAAGAAAGACAAAGCTGTTGGGACTCTAATAAAACTCCTTACAGCAGCCAGATGCTTTCGCAGATATTCCTCCAGCAGATTTTAATATTAAAAAGCCTACAACTACCTGAGCATGAGAGAAACATTCTGTTCTGAACATGGAAAGAATTGTCATTCGAACATAGTGATGTTTTCTGATGCAACCCAGGACTTCACAGGCTCCTTCTAAAACTCTACCTGAAAGGATGATGCGAGAGGTGGCTTCTATAATCAGGAAATGCCAACACATCCCTCTTTAGGTAACAAAGTAATTTGGAGCAAACAGTTAACACTTTGATCCAAATTACAGGCTTTAGAATATTTCCTGATTTCTAAAGCAAGAAATTATCTCCCTGAAAGGACACTGACAGTGTAAAAAGAGTTCATATTAGTAAGATATTCTTTTTGTTTTTCAAGCACCAAGACTTAAATACAATTGATTTGTTTCAAAATATTTTGAAACTTGTCCCCCTCCAAAGCTTCATTCATTCTGTTTTCTCTTTTCAGCAGCAGCTATTCACTTCTTGACACCCTGAGATGCCACTTAGCGTAAGCACAACTGTGCAAATAGACAGAGGAAAGAAGAACTTGCTAGTTTCTCTCAAAATTGCCAAAGTGAGCACGGAAGAGATTAATCTTAATATTTTCATCTTAAACTGTGGTTAAAAAGCTCAAGGAAGCAATTTTGATAACAGAAAAAACAAATCACATAGACAAAATTTTGGATGTTCTATGAAGGCAACATTGCTATACAAAAGAAAGGTAACCATTCAATTCAAAACGATGTCACTAAATTTATGTTTCACATAGAACAATATTTTTTTTCTCTTTATACTTTGCCACTTAGTCTCAGATAAGAAAAATATACTTACCATTTCATAAAACATGGTTATCCCTTTGGGAGTCTGACACTATCAACCTGAATGCTTAGCCCACTGATGCCTTAACAACAGAGGCATGAAAGAGAGGTCAAGCACTGAAGCACTACTTCAAATTTAAAAAGTGTCGCAGGCTGGAGTCAATCTTCTTTCAAAATGGCTTGACATACCTTGGCATCCGACCTCAGTGATCTCGGGTAGAGAGTACAAGCTCATCCAGGACTAAGCGGGAAGCTTATGGGAAACCCTTACCCAAGGAATTGAGCACCAGAAGGTCCAACTTCAATCAGGCGGCTGGCCAGTCCTTCACCTTCCACCGTTGGCGGCATTGTTGCCAGTCTGTGGCGCTTCACCAGGCGGCAGGTAACTCGTGTCGGGGCTGTGCATTTCCGAGGCGGGATAATGATCCGGAGCCCATTGTGTCTGCATCCCCGCATGGCGCCACCACGGGCGTCCACCATAAAACTGACCAGGAAACTAAAAATTGAAGTAGAAGATTAGGCATGCTTCAAAACAATATGGCTGATAAACAGGCTTTGTGAGGTTAATTTTTTTCATGCTCCTTTTTAATGTAATGCCTTGTGGTAAAACCCTTTTAAAAGTTTATGCTAACGTCTTTGTTACTTATGTTTAATTTTTGTATAATCTTCATGTTATTAAAGAATAATTCCAGTTTTTGTTGATCATGATGAATATAATTCAATTTCAACCTCTGTTTCCTTCTATGTTCAAAATAATCTGCATTGAAATAACAAAAGAATAGATCACAGAGGAAAGACAAAATGCCATATATTCTAAATTAATTCAACTTATTTTTTCAAGATTACATCTGTCTAGGTCATTTTAATATAATCCCATGACTTAAAAAAATTCAGACCCTCTCTCAATGTTAAATCCATGCTAGTACCCCAAAACTGTCTTACATGGGAGACAGATTTTTACCTGGTTATAAGGGAAAATTTTTCTGACTAAAGTAATATTTACAAATCTCTCAGATAAACCATTCTAATTGAAACAGACTGGAAATACCAGAGACAAGTAGCGTCCTCACAGCTGTTTAGGTGATGTAAGTCCAGAGTGGAACACTGGGCTCATGCTACTGGAGTTATCTGTGCATCACGAATTCCACCAAATTATAATGAAATAGAGGAAAAAAATTCATAATTTAGAAATACAAAAGCAACTCTGTGATTTTTCTCCTTTATGGCTTTCTGTTCATTACAAAAAGAAGGGTACCCTAAGGTGTCTCAGTTTGTTTATGTGTGCCAAGAGAAAGTATCTAAACTGATGTTTTCTAAGGGGTGGTCACCTATTCTTACACAGCTTAGCTAGAATGCTTGTCATTTAGTTATAATTTTCACTCACCAAAGTCTCTTGGGCATGCACTTCCTATAGGAGCAAAAATTAAATAACACAACAATGTGGGTGTTCTACACACACACAAAAACATGTACCAACACTTTGTAGGTCATTCCACAGTCACACAGATGTCTCTTCCCCATTTTCATTGCATTTGCAAGGTTTTTAAAACAACAACAAAATGAAGCAACATATAGGTGTTTCATAAACGTGGTTAAAACCAGAACAGAGCCAGATTCAGCACACCTAGATATTGCCCCCATGACAACACTGAGAACATTTGAAAGGTACTTGATCAAAGGAAGTTACAGGATAGAAACACAACACATTTTTGTTATTTTTAGGCAACTGATGAAAACTATTGCAGCATCCTCTTCACAGCAGAACACAGAATGCATTAGGCATGCTGTTAAACAGAAATCCTTCTGCTAGTAAGAGAAATGGGAGTGAAGAAGCCCAGGGTGCCCTCTGAAGCACGCCATGCAGCGTGAAACCATAGGAAGAGGAGCCATAGTCCTCCCACATGCAGGAGACAAGGTAGGCCTACCATTTTCCCCTAGCTGCTGAGTTTTCAGGAAAGGTGACAGCTGATGGGTATAACCAACAACAGTTCACACTGTTGATGTTTCTGGATTTCATCAAAATACAGAGAGAAGCTTACTGCTTTTTTTAATCTTTCTTAACATTGATCTCAAATATGAATACTTAAAATTTTTCTTTTTGACTTTTAAACATATACATTCATTCAAAAGGATAAAAGAATATTTTTACCTCCAGATGAATATAAAGATTTTTTTCTTTTTACTTTTTTTTTTTTTTTTTTTTGGTCTTTTTGAAACACAGTCTCGCTATAGTCCCAGCTGGCCTGGAACTTGCGATGTAGACCAAGCTGGCCTTGAACTCACAAAGATCCACCTGCCTCTGCCTTCCAAGTGCTGGGATTAAAGGTGTGCACCACCAGGCACAGCTCCATATTTTGTTTCTTTTGTCTGTTTTTGTTTTTTGAGACAGAATCTCTCAGTAGCCCCAGCTGGCCTATGACTTGCTATGTAGACCAGGCTGGCTTCTATCTCACACAGATCCACCTGCTTCTCCTTTCCAAGTGCAGGGATTAAAGGTGTGTGTCACTGTGCCGGGCTGATTCATTATCCTTATGTGAGTAAGATATTTACCTTGATTTCCATTTAAAAATAGAAAAGAATGCAGAAGTTTCAACTTTCAATGTTTCCAAACTCACTATACTGTTTCTAACTCATTGATAATAAGCAATAATACTTCCTTGGATTTTTTTCAAAACAAAATTTTTGAAACAGGGTCTCAAGTAGCCCAGCCTGGCTTTGAACTTGCTATATGGTTAAGGATAACCTTGGGTTCTTGATCTCCTGCTGTTACCTTCAGAGTGATACAATTACAGATACATGCCACTGTGCCCGGTGATTTTATTCAAATCTTTTGATTACTATCTCCATAAGTGAAAAGAACAGGAACTGAAACTACTAAGAATTGTTAGTTTGCTTAATGTTATGAGCCCTCCACAGCAGCTGTGCCTTTTGATGGTACTTACAAAGTCTCTGAACCATGTCCCAGGCCCTTATGTTCCCATGCTGCTATTCTAGTAATGGCCTTTGGCCTACAGAATGTCAATTCTCCATCTAGAACACGTGGAATATTCTGGTGGTCTAGCCTCAATACAGTGAATCATAGTAGCTATGTCCTTGACATGTTGGATCACTTTCCCATCTAACACTGAAATTCTCTTTTTATTCTCTTTCCTCCAAGATTTCCACTTCCATACTCCTTTTTGTAACCTTTGTTATCTTACCCTAAGGGTTTGTGTCAAGAATCTGACAGTCTAAGTCCAGATGTCACTGTATGCTTTCATCCTTGCTTGGGTCTGCTAACTTCCATGGTTAATGAGAACCTGGACATTGGATCTGTCTGCTCATCAAGGTGTCATCTAAGAGCTATAATGGCAGCAATCACGGTCTCAGCCTCCTAGTGCTTGGCACAGTATAGATACAGCACACAGTGGGGAGGCAGAAAACAATGTTTGAATAAATGAATGATATATTTCTTTACATATTTCTATTTATATATGCAATGGTGAGAGCAAGGCTAATTTAGGAAGTATATAAATTGTTGGTCTCTAACCAGTTATTCCAATTAGAATTCATTCACATCAGTACATTTAGATGTAGCAAAGTAGCTGAAAAATGCTATCTCTAATTTTAAATAGTATGAAGCAGATTTGTTTCTGCTCAAATGAGAGGTCTAGGATATTTATTTCCTATATTAAGGATTAGCAGAAAATGAAAGTATATGAAAATCAAGTTTTAATCTAACAAAAATTTAAAAACTACCATAAATAAAAAGCATATGAAGATAGACCAAAGAAGGGAAAATAAGATAAAATGAACTTAACAACTTCAATCTTTAAGCTACAGGGAGATAAATTTCCTAATAATTATCTGTGTCATTAGTGATCAGGAAAACAACATTAAGTATTTCAGTAATTGCAAAGCAAATTGGAAGAATTAATTACCCAATGGGCATAGTTCAAGGGAAGTTTAAATTCCTAGAGAAGGTAAGGCAAGTATTTTAACCAAATGATTAAAGAAATGATACAGGCTAACAGAAAATTGCAAACTCCAATGAAGATATTTTCTTTAGAAAGTGAGAGAAGAGAGAGAAGAGAGTAAAACAGAAAGATGCCAAGAAAAAGACAAGGCTGGAAGACAAGAAATGACTAAACGTTAATAGTCAAAAGGAACCAAGAGGGTTATAAAGCCTAACCTAGCCATAAATATTCTAACCAAATTAGTTGCCAAACAACTAAGCAAAAGGCTGAACTTATGGGATTGCATACAAGAAGACCTTTTCCTTTATGTAAGAAAGAGGGGAACAATGACAGGAGCTTATGTCTAGATGCTGATGAAATCTGCTGGAAAAAGGTAGTAAGCTGATCAGTTAATTCCAGCAATTTAGAGCATAAACTGGGCAAGGATTTGAAGAGTTTCATTAAAAATAGCAGAATATCAAAGATTCTACTACTGGGATGGGTAGGAGAATTAGGAGATGATTGCTATGAGTAAATAAGATTCACTTACATTTGGGGAAATTAAAAAGGAGAAAGTTTTTTGAGATGAAAGAATTGAAGTAAAAGCAAGAAAGTAAATATCTCTGAAGGAGATGGCATATGAACTGAAGCTAGCTCCACAGTTCATGTGTGAGAGTGAAGCCTGCTCTGTGAGAGTGGACCCTGATACCACGTATGGCTACGGGGAGAACTGAATCATGTGTAGGTAAAGAATATAGATTCAGTAAAGGACATTTTCATTAGTTTCCTTTCCCTACTTTGTATGTCATACAAATTTAAATGTGTAAGGTACCACCTAAAAACACTGAAAAATACATTTATTGAGAAGCTACAATGTATTCAAATTTGAGCTAAGCAGTTTAATATGATTAATGGAATTTTACTTATTTTATTAAATTGATTCTTTAAATAAGATGCATGAATTCTACTATTACAGAGTACAGCACAGGCTACAGTAGTACCATGCTCTTTCAAGCATCAAGTAACTCAACATCTGTTAAATTTTGCTTTCTCATCTTTGAATTTAGAGACTTAGGTGAATAAATGCTAAGTTATCACCTAATGTTAAAAATACTACGTGCAGTTAACTGTTAATTAGATCAGAAACCCTATCCAAATGTTCTTTTATCAGATGCTTTGGAGGAATTTCTAACTGGAAAATGAGCCATTATTACTCCAAAAAATATGTATTGTTTTTACCATATGGTTAAAATTGCTATCTTGCTACAAATGTGTAAGCATATTGCAGTAGGCATTGACTTAAGGCTATCCAGAAAAAAAAACAAAATCGGGAAACACTGGCTCTGGCTCTGATGCACATCTTACTCTCCAAATGCCAGTCAGCAGTCATGCAAGGTAGAAACTCACTCTTTTCTAAACTGTGAGATACAATGTTGTCACAATTTACAAAGAATAAAAGCAAACAATTCACTTTTATTAGGCGGATGACTTGCTTATAAATATGCAATTTAATTAGCTAAACAAGTACATGCTTCAGAGGA